GGCCGGCAGCTCCTTGAGATCCTGAAGTGCTGAAGAGGAAGCCCAATGTCTGTCCCAGTCTAGGAAGGGGAGACTGGGGAGCATCCCCCTCCTAGCCAGTGGGGCCTCAGCCTCCGGGCCTCAGAAAGTGAGGCGCTCTGCTGCCTAGACCTGCCTGCCTAATCTCTGACTCCCTCTGTCCCACATACCTCTATGTCTCTATGTCTGTCTGTGCCTCCCCACAGGACCCTGCAGCTCCACAGGCATGTGGACCTCAGTCTATGCGCCAGCCTGTCACACACCCAGAATCCTGGGGCAAGGATAGGTTTGCCCACCCATCCGTTAATGTCCCACAATCCTGTCAATAAGGACTCCCAGATTAGCCTGCCAGTTCTTAGCAAGGGCTGCATCCTTCCCTCCAATAGTGTCCCCAACCTCTCCAATCAGCCTTTGTTCCTTTCCAGATTCTGACCTCAAAATCAGATTGCAGGCAACAGGACAGGAAAACCCCTTTCCTGGATGGGTCTGTCCCTTTTCTAATGCTAGGAAATGGAAAGCCAGCAGCAATGCTTCCCTCACCACTACCCCCTGCCAGCCCCCATCTCAAAGGAGAAAGCAAAAGACCAACTTGGAAAAGCCAACTGCTGCTGCTCTCAGGAGCCTGCAACCCAGCTCAAGAATCCTTATCACCCTCAGCCACACCAGATCCCACGACCTCATCTTCCCTTCATGACTCTTCTCATGGAGCCCCAAACCAGGGAGGGGAAGTAAGATCTAAGAGGGGTGGAGAAGCTTAATCCTCCCCCAATCCTGCCTTCTCTTGGAGTGGAGAAAGGGAAGGCCCCACTGTTTCAGGAGATGCCTGGGGAGTCATGTTTCCTGTGTTAGGGAGACCTGGATGACATGCCTCAGCTTTTGCTCCCAAGCTCCCTCCCATGCCCTCTCCAGCAGCCTGTAGGGAAATCCCTTGCAAATAAATAGCATACAGACCAACCAACCAACTACCCTGTGGAATGGTGAACAGGAAGGGCAGTGAAGCACCAGGTACTATGGGAAGACTACAGTTAGGCCAGACTCTGGAAAGAATTTGTTGAAAGTCATTGGAGGAAGTTCATAACGAGACTATATAGCATAGCTCTTTTTAAAAACTAGACTGGAGCCTTTCTATAAGTGCAAGCCTTTCTGGAGACTCATGTGAGACAGTCTAAATCAATATCAACTGGCCCATGATGATGTGGAAAAGTGAGATATGGAAGGGACAGGCAAGGCTTTGACAATGAAAAGGAAGGGGCTAACCGGCCAGCAAGCAAGTAAGAGAGATTCTACACACTCATTTCCCATTACTACACTGGAATACCTCATCTCACTGATTCTAAGACACACATTTCTCACATCTTGACATCTCTGAAATCAGGATGCACCTTTAGTCAATGGTTTAATTAGCAGTGTCATAGTTTAATTAGCACTGTTTTTTCTTCTTAGTGGTATATAAAATAATAGAGTAGCCTATAACTGATTAAGTATAGTATTTGCTAATAGCTTGTGGAGAAAAGAAAAAGATCAATTTTTTTTCCCTTCATAACTGCTTTGAGGAGTTCAAAGTACAAAAACCCTCCTCAACCAGCTAACTAAATAATTGACTGTAACCAAGTATCTAACACTCTGATTTGGGTTGACTTGAGGAAAAGTGCTCAGGTTTGGTGTCAGGCTGACCTTTGGTTTTGAAACCTGTCTCTGACTCTTGGTTCACCATTTTGCAACTGTATGACCTTGGGCAAGTCCCTTAACACTCACATAAAATGGGATAATCACATCAATCTGTTAGCTTATTGTAAGGATTACCTAAATTAACACATGTAAATGCCTGGCATGTGGTGGTTGATCAAGGTTAGTTCTCAAGTATTTTTAAAATTTCTCTTATTTCCTCCCAACCCCCACTCACTTTTCCAGAATGGCTGTGGTGGTTTATAATCAAAATTAGCTAATAAAAATACAAATTAAGATCAAGGAAAAAGGAGAAAGCATATATGCTATCACTAAGTGCTGACAAAGTTGTTATAATGGAGAGTAAAATCTGGCTTAGCAGCAGCAGGGCAAAATAGTGGTTCTCCATTTCAAAAATGTAGAAACAGTAACTCTTTAGTGAACAATGGAAAAGCAAACTTTGTCCTGGCCCTAAATTTTAAAGTAGTTTCTCATGTAAATTTCTATTATTTTATCTGTACAGTGTTTACCATTTACAATGTAGTGTCACAGCCTGTCTCATTTGTTGCTACATTAACTCCATTTTGCCTCTATTTTATGGATTCATTCATCCAAAGAAATATGTATCATGTGCTTACTATGTACCAGATACATAAACAGGAGGAAAGGCCAATTAACCATGCTATTAGTTAGCCAACTGACTGCCTAACAAGCTACTAACTGCAAATTCATTAATGAATGACCCGCACACTAACTAATTAATCACCTAAATAACCCATCCCAGAGGGAGCAAGGGCCACAGGATAAGCTGAGGAAGCCAGTCAGCACAGTCAGGTGGTGTGCCCAGAGCCTAGGGTGGATCTGGTTGAGGATGACTACTTGAGCTGGCACTATAGTGTAGTAAAAAGCAATTAGATTAAAAAAAAGAAGAAGAAAAAGCTAGGTTTTTGGAGCACTTGATAAATACCAATGCCAAGCCCCAACCCAGATCAACTGAGTCAGAGTCTCTGAGAGTACAGCCAAAATTGGGCACAGTGGCATGCCTATATAGTTCCAGCTACTTGGGAGGCTGAGGCTAGAGGATTGCTTGAGCCCAGGTGTTCCAGGCAAGGCTGGGAACCACTGCTCTATGCCAATCACAGAAATCCTGTTCCCTGCTCTCCTAGTCTCCCTTGTAGCTAGGGATGGTCATGTGATCCAGTGTTGGCCAATGAGACCTAAGCAGAAGACTAGAGGAGAGGAAGGTTGTGACAAGTTTTTTTTTTGTTTTTGAGACAGAGTCTCACTCAGTTACCTGGGCTAGAGTGTCATCAGCCTAGCTCACAGCAACCTCAAACTCCTGGGCTCAAGCAATGCTCCTGCCTTAGCCTTCCGAGTAGCTGGGACTATAGGCATGTGCCACCATGCCTGGCTAATTTTTTCTATATATTTTTAGTTGTCCAGCTGATTTTTCTATTTTTAGTAGAGATGGGGTCTCGCTCTTGCTCAGGCTGGTCTTGAACTCCTGAGCTCAAACAATCCGCCCACCTCGGCCTCCCAGAGTGCTAGGATTACAGGCGTGAGCCACCACGCCTAGCCAGTTGTGGCAAATATTTTGCTTTTTTGATAAACGGAAAGACGCCGTTTTACTTTCCCCTGTGGATGAGATCTGTGGAGTTCCTAGAGACCTTTAGGCAAGAAGGATGAAAGTCAATATGCTAAAGATATAAGAGCAAAAGATAGAAAGAGCCTGTGTTCCTTATGCATCACTGACCAGGTAAACCAGCACCAGCCTGCTTCTTGTAATGTGAGAGAAATAAACACTATTTCTTTTCATCATAGTCTGGATCTCTGTTACTTACAGCCAAATATACTCCTGAGACGTAAAGGTCCCAGCTCAGTGCTGAGTGACTACTGCATAAGGAAAGATACATATTGGAGTGTCTATGTGTCCTTGTGTATATATACATGCCTTCCCATCCAAATCCAGGAAGCAAAACCCCTCCCCACTTCCTTCCCAGCTATGTTATTCTGTGAATGCTATCATCTTACGCCTGGGATCCTGATTAAGCCTCCACAAGGGAAAGGATGGATGAGGCAGCAGGGAATTTACCTGTCTCCTGTAGCTTTCTTTTTGTCACCCAGTAGCCCCAAATCGTGGTTCCAGATTCCTCAGCTCACATCCCACTGGGATTAGCAAGCTCAGGACAGCTGGGGTGAGGGCAGGAACTTGAGCTCATTCTAGGAGGCTGGAGGGTTGAGCACAGGGGATTGGGTAGAGGTGGCAGCTGCTGCTGTTGCAGGTGCTTCCCTCACACCACAGATGCAGGTCTGCTCACCTGACCTCTCACCCTGGCCTCCCAGGCCTTCTCCCACCTGGAGGAATTAGGAAACTTCCAGTTATAAGGAACTGAGGACTGGGCTGCCCAGCTCCCTGACCTGGGTGAGGCAGGCTGGTCTGAGCCCCTGTGGGACTAAGGGCAGAGGCAGCGATTCACCAACGGCACAGGTGGATCTTTCCTGTAACACTCACTGGAGACACTACAGAGGGAAGGAATGAATTTTCAAATCTGGGATTTGCATAGCCCGAGCAATCTAGACCTTCTGATCAAGAGTCCTCATTTGTAAGTGAGTTCTCTGAAGAAGGTCAGCCTCCCCCTATACCCTATTACACTACATGGTCCTGAACTGCCACCTCCTTCCGTTTCCTCCAGTAAGACTTCTCTAAAATATATGCTTATTTTTTACTACCTATCTGAGAAATATTTATCTGCTAGGGTTGTGTCAGATGAAAAATAATTCCTAAGTCAGAGAAATTATTTAATTATCCAATACCCTCCCTTTTTCTTCTCCCCTTTCATTCTTCCTAAGCATGAATAATCCAAAATTGGCTTTAAATTTGACTCTTCAAGGATATTTTGGAAAGAGGTCTGAAACAACTTAGAGCACAAGAATGGGCTATCAGTAAGTGGACTATCAGAAAGCCCTTGAAATTTTAAGTTGAAAAACCTGAATTCAGTTCCTCAGCAGGCTATTTACAGAGGGACATAGAGCATGATCAGTTTTAAGGCTCTGTTTCCTTATCTATAAATGAATTTAATAACAGCCATCTCATAGGGTGGCAGGAAGGATGAAGTGATGTCACATAGATAAAAGTACTTTGAGGGCTCACAATAATAACCAGCATTTATTGAGCACCTACAATGTACCCAGCAGGATTCTAAGAACTTTATGTGCATTATCTCATTTCAGCCTTACCACCTTCTCAGGTGGGTACTATCATAAACCTAATTTTACAGATGAAGAAATGGAGGTTAGAGGGAAAAGGAGTGAAGTGGGGGGGACGCGGCAGCGGCGGCGGCGGCGGCGGCAGCGGCGCTGATAATGAGTTTTCTTGGAGGCTTTTTTGGTCCGATTTGTGAGATCGATATTGTCCTTAATGATGGAGAAACCAGGAAAATGGCAGAAATGAAAACTGAAGATGGCAAAGTAGAAAAACACTATCTCTTCTATGATGGAGAATCTGTTTCAGGCAAGGTATTTTCTTAAAGTGACAATAGTAAGAAGACTGACAGACTTGGTAAAAGAATATGATCTTATTGTTCACCAGCTTGCCACCTATCCTGATGTTAACAACTCTATTAAGATGGAAGTGGGCATTGAAGATTGTCTGCATATAGAATTTGAATATAATAAATCAAAGTATCACTTAAAGGATGTGATTGTTGGAAAAATTTACTTCTTATTAGTAAGAATAAAAATACAACATATGGAGTTACAACTGATCAAAAAAGAGATCACAGGAATTGGACCCAGTACCACAACAGAAACAGAAACAATCGCCAAATATGAAATAATGGATGGTGCACCAGTAAAAGGTGAATCAATTCCAATAAGACTATTTTTAGCAGGATATGACCCAACTCCAACAATGAGAGATGTAAACAAAAAATTTTCAGTAAGGTACTTTTTGAATCTAGTGCTTGTTGATGAGGAAGACAGAAGGTACTTCAAGCAACAGGAGATCATTTTATGGAGAAAAGCTCCTGAAAAACTGAGGAAACAGAGAACAAACTTTCACCAGCGATTTGAATCTCCAGAATCACAGGCATCTGCTGAACAGCCTGAAATGTGAACTGAATAGGAGAAAAAAAGAAAAACAAAAAGCTCCTATAACCATTGAGATTAAATTCAGCAGGTTAAAGATGGTTGCAGCACATAGGAGGGAAAAGGCCAAAACTCCATATATATTAGTCTTCCTTTATATTATATAGTGCTGCATTTATTTTATGATATAATGAAATGTTCTTCATGTATATACATTTAAAAAAGTGCTTTCTTTGAAACACTGGAACTTTCTTAAGCTGCCTTTTTTTTTACTGCACACTTTGATTTGATGATAAGCACTCAGATATGCATCAGCATAAACATTAAAGATTTTCACCGCGTGCAGTATGCTGGTATTTGTAATTTTGCTTTTTCTGCATAATGTTAATTAGAAATCCTTTTCTTCTCCCTTTTTATGCTAATGATTACCTCTTATTCTCTACATGCAAAAAATTAAATATTTTGCGTTCAAATAAAAAAAAAAAAAAAAAAAAAGAAATGGAGGTTAGATAATTTGCCCAAGGTCATACAACCAGGAAATGAAATCGGGCTTTGAAGCCAATTAGTCTGCATCTTCAGTGCCTATGCTTTTTTTTTTTTTTTTTTTGGAGACAGAGTCTCACTTTGTTTGTTGCCCAGGCTAGAGTGAGTGCCGTGGCATCAGCCTAGCTCACAGCAACCTCAATCTCCTGGGCTCAGCAATCCTTCTGCCTCAGCCTCCTGAGTAGCTGGGACTACAGGCATACGCCACCATGCCCGGCTAATTTTTTTTGTATATATATTTTTAGTTGGCCAATTAATTTCTTTCTATTTTTGAGACGGGGTCTTGCTCAGGCTGGTTTCGAACTCCTGACCTTGAGCAATCCGCCCGCCTCGGCCTCCCAAAGTGCTAGGATTACAGGCGTGAGCCACCGCGCCCGGCTGGTGCCTATGCTTTTAAAGGTTTTATTTGTTAAACAGGGACAACAGAGAGAACAGAATACTTGACACATGGTAACATTCAAATACTAGTATCATTATTATAAATAGGACTTGCCCAAGATCTCACAGAAAGAAAGGAGGTCATTGGACCCTATAGGATTCTAGAGCCGAAGATCACCTATTAGCTATTACTCTTGTTTATCTTCTAAAAAATAAAATACCCAGCCAGAGACCAAAGACTTAATCATCTTTCTCTCCAGATTTCCAAAAGAGTGACACCTCCAGCATCCCTTGTGGTCCCAAGAACATCATGCTCTGTCTCCCGCTGACCCCCACCAAGCTAACCATTGGAGGAAAGTCAGCAGAACTCATGGGGGTGGGCTGTCCGTTCACCAGAACACATGGTTGAAGGATGGAAAAGTATTGTACACACAGATGCTACTATAAGTTTTTCATGTGCAAAGATGGTTGGTGTTAAGGCCCCTTTTCAGCTGAGAACATGGCATTGGCCAAAAAGGCAAATTCTTCACTAAATCAGACAGAAACGAAGATAAGGAAAAATGTGCTTTCATCTGGAATAAAATTTTCTATAACAGGCCACTAGAGAAAAAGCCTTCTGCTCCCACTCCACACCCCATATACTTGGGCACAAGTCCACTGCCCCAGAAGTAATCCAGCTCTGGATGTGAAGAGAGACACTGTAAAGTTCGCACAGAGGACTCAGAATACTATTCTTTCTCCTTCCCGGAGTCTGATTTGTTATTATGTCGGCACCAAACACAAAGGCAAATGACTCATGGTAACAATGCTGAATGTTTGCCAAATGAAACTCCAACAGCAGGCATGTCTTGGTGCCTTACACTCCCTCTCCACATCACCAGGGCCCTTCTCTCAGCTTGTATCAAGCTCAAGCCTCTTTTCCACTCACAGTCCCAAGAAGCTGTGTCCTGGAGTTTCCTGGGTGCCCGCCATCCCATCCCACCAATGCCCCTCCTCTTACTGCTGCCCTCTCCCTCAAACATCCCCCAACAGCCTTGGGCCCACTCACCCAGAGCTGCTTTCTGTGCTTCAGTCATGGATTTTTCAATCCCCAACTCTAAGGGGCAGGCACAGTAGAAAAGGAAATTGAAGGTGGCTGGATGTGGGCATCAGTGGGAAGATCTGGAAGAAATTGGAGAAGGGAACTTACTCACTGCTCAGTGACCAAAACCTTTCTCTAGCAGATTTCATGAAGGGAAGACGCTGAGCTGAAGGCCTAGGAGAGATTGTTTCTTGCCTCCAAGATCCAAAAGCTCCCTCCTCTTAATGTTTGGGAAGTGCCTTCTAACATCTAGCTTCAAGCCCACTTGCTGCAGTTGGTTCTTTCTCTAAGGAGCCACAGACACGCTGGGGCTCCTGTTAACAAGTCAGACCTCCACAGTAAGAGTTTCCATTCCCTCATTCGGTCCCCGAAGCTGGTGTGTGTTGGGGGTGGGGGATGCAGCTGTCCAAGGAGAGCTGTGTCCTGGAGCTATGCCAACACTGGCACCAAAAGGGTAACAGGGTGCAGACCCAAGTCTGTCCCTTCCTAGGAGGCAGGCTCAGGGCTGTGGCTCCTTCAGGAGATTCCGCAGGCCCTACAACGGGAGGACAGGAAGGAGTTTCTAGGACCGACCCCCACATGTCCTTACATTTTCTGAAGTTTCTCCTTTGAACATGTTCCTTTATTTATTGGGCCTCATTTAACCTCAGCCATGTCCTCCTGGGATCATTTATTTGGTAACTGTCACTCAGCCTGCTCTGGCATTAACCTCATAATCCTATTGATTTCCTCCAAGCTAGTTGGAGGTTTTCCCGTCTTCTTGCTGGGCCGGTTAAGGACTAAGTCTCAGTTCTGGTCATTACCAAGGAAGACGCCCCAGACTGGTAAGGGGGCCTGCTCGAAGGGCCGTCTGGAGGTTCCTCATTCCCACTGTGGTCCTTTCCAGCCTGTGGGAGATAGATATGTGAGGCCGCCTCAGTTGCTCAAGTGTGAGGTAAGGTGGCACTCACCACCACCACCACCACCACCACCACCACCAGGAGCTCCCTAGGTGGCTACTGAGGCTGTCCTTCAGCGCAAAGGGCCTGGGTTTCACCAATCACAGCACCGATCAGCCTGGAACCCCGCCCCCTCCGCCATCTTGGATCCTGGAGCGCCAAGGGGCCCAATCACTGAGGGGGAATCGGGTGAGGGTGGGGCCGAGGCCCAGGCTGGCGCCCACGTGGCCACCGGGCCTGCGCCTTCCCGCCACCTGCAGCCAGCAGCCTGGCCCCTGTCGAGTTGCAGCTGCAGTTCCCAGACACCAGCCCAGTCCGTCGCCAGGGGATTAGTGTCCGTCTGTTGGTTGGGACAGCCTCAGTGGGGGTTGTCCCAGCCCAGACAAGGGCCTCCACTTCGCCCTTTCCCAGGACCACCCCCCCTAGAGTCCAGCAAGGGCAGAGGGGATTGTTTTGGGGGGTCTGAGTGCCTGGGGTGCTGATCTCTCCCAGAGCTGAGGTGTGGGGGTGACCAGAGTCCCCCTCCCTGCCAAGCCTGAGCCACATGTGCTGGGAAGTTCATTTCCCCTTGTTTTGCAGAACGGGCTCTGGGATTGACCCCAGGAGTGACCCCAGTGTCAGGAGGCATTAATGATCTCCATACGGGCAATAAACAGGCAGACCGGCTGGCTTGGTGTGGAGGTGCCCTGGAATGGGGCCGCCTTATTAGCCTCACATTCGCTCGTGGGTAGAGGCTTAATTAGGGAGGGCTCCCTCATCCATCTCCCCCTCCCCCAAGCATCCTTGAGCTCCATGGGAACTGAAGTCTTCTGACTGGTTCCTCTGTTCCTCATGAGCTGGCTCAAGAAGCACCCTCTTCAGACGTCAGCTCAGCCCTTTGCCCACCTCTAACAGGACTTCTGACGCAGGCCTGATAAAGTCTATCTTGTTTTTAAAAGTCTCTAGAGGCCAAGTGTACAAGCATTCTGAGTCAGCTCACTTTTTTTTGTCCGCCAGGCCCAGGAAGAAGAAGGTCTTCTTCTTTAACTTAAATCCCTCCTAATCGTTTGAATTTGATCCCGTTGGGCCTTATTTTTTTCCCAAACAGCAAAGGGAGATAGCTGGTTACAACCCTTTACCCACAGTCTTTAGCAACTGCCTAGATGATTACAAAGCACAATCCAATTTCTGACGACTCTCTCCAAATCCACTTGCATCAGGGAGGTTGTTCGTACTAAGTGTGTGCTTTTACCTCTTTAGGTTTCAGTTTCCTTAACTTTTCAGCTCATTTAAGAGTCACCAAATGCTACATGCTAGGCACAGGGCTGAGCACCAGGGGACAGCAGCTGAGGAAAACTCAGGTCCTACCTTAAGGGAGCTCCTAGCCTAGTGGAAGAGACAGGTTTACAAACAAATGCAGTAATACAACATGTTCAGGGCTAGAATCTTAGTCTATACTGAGTGTGAAGGGAGTACAAAAGAGATTAACTAACATATCCTGGCTTGTCAAGGTAGGTTCTATGAGAGATGACCTCTGAGTCCATCTTTGAAAGATGACTATGGATGATCTCTTTCAAAATAGAGAATGTGGGAAGAGCAACTCAGGAGAAAGGAAGAACGTGTACAAAGGCATAGAGAGGCATGTTTGAGGAGCAGTGGGACTGGAGGGGTGGAAAATGAAGCCTTGTGGAAAGGCAAGGCTTGGGAAGGGCCTTGTAAACCATGTAAAGAGCTGTATCTAAAGGCAATGGGGAGCCATAAAGGGTTTGGGGGGAGGGATGCAGCCTGGCCTGATCAGATTTGCATTTTAGAAGATGACTGGTGGTGAAGTGGGTAGATATGAGAGTGGGAACTAGCAGCAAGGAGTTATGAGGGGAGGGAAATGATTAGAAAGATATTTAGAAGTGGAGTATGGAAGCAGCAGGAGTTCAGGATGTTTCTAGGGAGGAGTATGCTGCATAGTTGTGATTTTGTACATCAGAGTTCACTCTGCTTTTTCAGGTTTAGAACCCTGCTTTTTCAGGTTTAGTTTTAGGGGAAAGAACCATTTTCTGGAGGCTTTTAAAAACAAGATAGATTTTATCAGGACTGAGTTACAATTTGGTGGGACTGTAGTGAAAGGATTCTGCTCTCCCCTAGCCAAGACCATGAGACCCTAGTTATTAGCCCATTCTCTTCCCAGAAGTGTGATCTTGAGCATAATGGCTGAAAGAATGAAGGGATGGAAGTTGCATCCTCCTCTTTGGGCCTTAGTTTCCTTACCTGTACAGTTCATTCAAGATTCAACAAACACTCCATGGTAGGTAGCATTCTTCTAATACATTC